CCATAATATCACTAAGACCATTTCCTTGGTCACCATGGTAAAAATTTAAACCCTTCTTTAAGAAATCGAGAGTTCGAATTATTAGGGATTGAAGATAGCTTTGCCACTTTAGCCCAATCGTCTGTTGTAGCAGTTGATGCCTTCTATCAAGAACCATCAAAATTTGCCCGGGTTGGCTTGGTCTTGCGTTGTCTTAGTATCTCATAACTAAGCAATTTCTTGTCATGCCGATTATTTATCAGATCCCAGAAGCTCTGTGACTTTTGGTCGGTCATGCTTTGGAGTTCTTTAATATCATACAAAGTGAGAACCCTACCTAGAACCTTCTTTATTCTAGATTTGATATCTACTAACTTAAATAGCTTACGCCTCTCGGTCTTGTAGCTTTTCTCATTTTTTCTGGATGGAGGCGTGATAAAGTATTTCATTCACTGTGTCAGAATGACACTTTCTCACTAGCTTGCAGAATCGAGGAGCGATACCATGTTTGCAATAATTTAAAAAGGTCAAATGGCAGGATTGACTTACAATTGTCTTCTTTGTCCGGTTGTAATCGGTGCATTGTCTGGCAATCGTACTTCCATTGTTTAATCGAAGATATAAAGACCAAGATGGTGTGGCCTCTTGTGTAGTCGTAGCATCCTTTCGCTGTACATAAGTTTTTTGACCTTTTTTTCGTGACTTGGTCATATTGGTAGGAAGACTTAGAGGAACGCAAATATTCTAGAATCTATTGTATGCTTGATAATTTCCAGTCGGTCCGTGCTGCATTCCGAGACATTCCACCGGCCACACTACGACCCGCCAGAGACAAGTGAAGCCGATCCTTTGACCAATTACGTGCTAAACAATTGTGGTATCTCTCCTCCTGGGCTATTCATTTTTCCTTTATCTTCGTATCACAATTTTTAGTCCTCGCTTATTTACATGTATCGTGGTATGCCCTTTTGACAAGCTTCCATGAGAACCCTACACACTACACGCTGGCGTTATCACCCCCTTCATCTTTGTGCTGCGAATGTTGATCAGTCTGCCATATTGTTACACAGTCCTTGCCTAAATTTTATCAGTCTCCCTCTTGCCCCGGAGAATCCATCTGTTATCTCCCTGGTTCAAATATTTCACTCGACCCCTGTCATTCTATCTGTGCTACTCTGGAGGTTATTAGCACCCCTATGTCTAGGTGCCTAATTTTTGACTAAAGAATGTGCAATTCTTGAACAAGGGAGATCGCAGACAGATCCCACTGGGCAAGAGGCAGACTCTGATAAGACTTAGGAATGAGGACGGCATACCAATATGAAAGACTCTGATTAACATTCTCAGCACAAGGGTTAAGTGATGCAAGAACGCCAGCGTGGAGTGTAGAGGGTTCTTATGATGGCTACTCAGAATGGCAAACTACATTATATTTAAATTAACAAGAAAAATTGTGATACTAGGATATAAAAAAGGTGAATAGCCCAGGACAGGAGAGGTAGCACAACTGTTTAGCACACATTTTATCAAAGGATCAGCTCCACTTGCCTCTTTGACGAGTTGTAGTATCGTACTAAGAATGACAGGACTCACTGACGATGCCGGCGAAACGTGTGGGAATGCACCACGTCCACGATACTACTTTGGAAATTATCACACATACAATGGAATTCGGACTAGGCGCATTCTTACCAACATGACTAAGTTGCGAAAGCAATGTCAAACAACTCATATACAACGAAAGGGGACTGCGACCACCTATAAGGGCACACCATCTTGGTCTTCATACCTGCTGTATATTATGCTTATTAACTTATTTACTAAAGTGCCTAATTCTTAGCTGTTTATCTAATGGTAATTTAGAGCCTGCTTGGCATGGCCCACAGGAATATTTATATACAGACTCATCATCGAAGCTTACAAGATTCCAAATTCCTCCCCCCATCGACTAATTTAACGAATCCCCATGAATTTTCATTGGAATTTTTAAATCCTGGGATTTGCTTAAATTTGTAACAATTCTTGATCTTTTACGCATCACGCCCACCACATTATTCACAACAATTCTAAGTGGGACCCATTCTTTATATATTCTTCGCTTTTACTGACATCTCGTTGAAGAAGTGTTTTAATCTTTCACTTGTTAAGCTCTTCATCTTTCATACAATGTTATAGAAAATCATTGAGTTCAGACTTAAGTTTTTCTGTAGGGGTAATTGTGATTTCCTTGTCTTTCCATACGACCCAAAGTACCCATAACGATCTCTGCTCTTCCTTTTTCTGCCTTCGACACCACTTGGTTCTTATCACTTATTTTTTGTGATGCTTCTCATCCTCTTGTTCCTAGGTTATATTTCTACGTAGCTGCTAACTAAAGAGACTACCTGTAATTTAATATCACTCCGTTTCTTCTGGAAGATGGTGAGTAAAATTTACGAGTTCCACCAGTATCCCCTTCCCATTATCCATACTGTCTGACAAAGCAAATGAAGACCTTTCGATAGGACATACTTAGAAGTAGCGCCAAATGTTGTTATGAATAGGCTTAATCCCTATCTATCCTTTTCTTTTATATACCAAGAGAAAATGGATCTCGATGAATCTCCTGAGATAACATTGTTGGGGGAACTTTCATCTTGCATGAAAGGGCATGGAGAAGAGATTCGTTGGTCGATCTCACCAGATGAGGACAAATGAATACCGTTTTTCTGCAGCCGTTTGGCTTTTATATGATGTTCAGGTTGACGCAGTCCACTGGACTTGTGTCAGACGACCTCTTGTCCCCCTCGATAACTACCGACAGGATGCCGATATCAATAAAAACGAAATACGAAGGCCGAATCATGCTTTAGCAAGCCATCTGGGTTGAGGGTCGTGTCGCAGGTCTGTATTTTTCAGGTTGACGCAGTCCATCTGAACATCGTATAAAAGTCAAATGGCTGCAGCACAACGGGATTCATCCGTCCTCATCTGGTGAAATCGACCAAAGAATCTTTTTTATGCACTTTCATACGAAATGAAAGTCTCCCCAACAATATCCCTTGCTTCTTAATGTCTACCCTTAACGTATTCTGACTACCCTTTAGCATGATTCGTATGCCCAAATTCCTAAGCTTTTTATCATACTTACATTTTACCTATTGAGATCACTTTCACATTACTTGTCCGCCATTATTTGCAATTTAGATGAGTCCGCCTGGCTATTAGTGTTAGCCAATGATTGGCGTACACAAAGAGTAAACAACACACTTAATTTGTTCGCACTAATCCAAACTTAATATTATCATTTTGTATCTTCTGAAGTCGCATTTTATGAAAAAAGATCTGGTGCAGTAATTCTTTTGCAATGTCATGGTAACCGAAATTTAGTGCATTATTTTAATCACCAGGACATAACTTAAACACATTTAGCATCAGTCGTTCTGGGATGCTTTTACTAGAAATTGATCATATTTGCGTCGAACTACATTTATTAACGTATGATTCACTAGGCATGTCTATCCAATGTCTACATAAAAACTTCATGTTTTTTGCACAACTAGCACGGCAGCTTGATGGCAATGCACGTCAATCAAGTAGACTCGGGTCTGCCGTTGATGCGAAAGTTGCTTATATGTCAGTTACACCGATCTAATCTTCTTCAGTCTACCTATAGTCCAAGCAGCTTGCACCAGACCTGGCAACTGCATCTAACCCATTCTCAACTAGCTCAGGCGGCCGGACTTATGTCAGACGACCTCGAGTCCCCCTCGATAACTACCGACAGGATGCCGATATCAATAAAAACGAAACACGAAGGCCGAATCCTGCTTTGGCAAGCCATCTGGATTCAGGGTCGTGTCGCAGGTCTGCATTTTTCAGAGAAACATCAGCTACCAGGTCTACGTCTAGACGATTCTACCGGCCAGCTGGATGTTTATCTCACGCTGGCGGCTCAGCAGCAGATTAAGCTATCCGGTCGCAGTCATCTGGAGATTGGAGACTACCTAGCATGTGTTGGTGAATTGATCCCAGCTGATAGCAGAATCGCGGATATAACAAGTATCGGTGATAGAAAACCGATCACGGAGGCCTGGAAGCTGGAGGCACGCACCGCTACTGTCCTACAAAAGGCAGAGGAAGCGGGAAAATCTACTAACCCTAGAGACTCTGCCGAACACAGATGTCTAGCAGAGGTGGCATGGCCTCTGGAGGTGGCTGACATGAGCATGAAGTTCCATCAACGAATTAATTCTAATGGTCTCATATTTTGACGCATTTTTACTACAAATACATAGTAGTGGGGTCCTCGGAGTTATAAAGATATCTGCTATTTTGTATACACATTCAAACCAATGCAATATACCTATCATTTTGGCCTTTTCAAGTTACAGAAATACCTGATGGATAGATGTGGGGTTTTATTTTTTTAGAGAAAATATCAAGACGCAATTTATAATTAGTAAAGGGAAGAAATATGAATGACGAACAAAGTTCTCGGTTAGATGTAGTAAATTTTGGAAAAATAATAACCCTGTTGCATATTATTATATTTTTCGTCTTTGTGTATGGATATGATTAAGAAACTGGGATTGATTTAAATAAAATCGTACATCAAACAAATAAATAGATGGGTAGGTATGTTCTATCAAGCAATTTAAAATTAAGAAACGCTGTACGAGCTTATATGTGCATTCGCTTAACTGATTTTTTAAATAGTAATTAGTAGTCATAGTATCAGATAAAAGTATATAGATCTGAGTAGGCAGGAAGCCACGCTGATTGACGGACAGCCATAACAAGAGCATCGTGTCGTCAATTGCTGGTACTATAGAATAATGAAGATGTATTAAGAAATATTTAGGTAGGACATGATAATTTATTAATTTACATGCAATGAGAACAAATAGTAACATGCATCGGGTCCTTACTTAAATTCCGAAATTTAATCAAAATTTTACCGAATAAAACAAGAAAATGATCAGCGTAAATTAGCATCAAAGTATTTCGACTGAGTAAAATCAATAAAAATTAACGTAAAAAATGATTAGGAAAGTGGCAACAAGAATGGGTAGACCAAGGTCCGGTCTTTGCTAATCAGCTTAAATTAATGAAGCATTTAGAGTCAATAATACCTTAAAGTACCTAATATTCGAATAGCTATCAATAGGTTAATATGGGATTTATTCGCCAAATCTCGTTTAAGGTGATGAAGGACTGGTAGAAGAAGAATTTTCCCACAAGCTGACGTTTCCATTGAATTTCACATAGCCTTGCTTTCCCAAAAGTTGTTCTCATCCAGGGTGGACTGCTGTTTCGACCTCGAATCGGTCTTATCAACACCCTCAGCGGGAGTCGAACCGTGATAGTGCAGGATGGGAGCTTGACACACTAACCACTCGGCTACACTGCCACGAGTGCCTTAGGTCACAGGGCAAATGTGAATTTCAAAGAAGGCCAGGTCTTTTGTCATATCATATTCTTTTGGTGGAAATGTCGAT